ACAATTTTCCTGCCTCAGTTTGCTGAGTAAATACTGGGATTACAGATCTGGGCTGCTACGCCTGGTCTTACATGCATGTTTTGTTAAGGTTTGTTGTGTGGTACAAAGATATTAAATGTCCTTATTTTTAATTTTTCTTCAATTTCACTGTGGTTTTGTAACGTTTGTGACTTCTGCTTTTTTGGGTATAAATTCATAACAAATACCTACTAGTTTCAATTACTGTGGACTTGTAATGGACTAAAATTGGCTTCATTTTGCTGTTGGGTGAAAAAACTATTCTGTGACTTAAAAAAAAAAAACCCTTATGTTTTCTTGTTCTTCACTGGGCAAAGCCTTGACTTCAAAGGTAAGACGAGATCCTCTCTTAGAGGCTGGGTAGCTGTACTGAGAGAGCTTCGCTGAAGGGATAACTCATTCCCCAGGGCCTTTCATACAGATTGATGTATTTGCTGTGATGCCCTGTAGTATTCCCTTGTTTTTGGAAACACAGAACACAAATCTAACATAGGCAAATAAGGAAGGCTTGGTATATAATGTCATATGTATACAGTATAAATACTTGGTGGCCTGATCACTGAAGCCAGTGTGGCTATGAAGAAGAGATCACTTGTGATATACATCATTGAGGTTAATAATCACTGGCCTAATTGGGAGAATAAAGATAAGAAAGATTATAAAATGATACCGCTTTCATTTGCAGGATCAGATATTATGAAAGCAGGCAGGAAGAGCACTCACCCCATTTGACGGCATCACTGGAGCTTATGGAATGTGTGGAGGTTATGGCCAATGTCAGGAGCTGATAGCCGTACTGACGTGTGGACAAATAACATTAGCAATTTGAAGCCAGTGAAGGGTAGTAACTTCCGGCAGGAGCACAGTTTTGGGCTGCAGGCAAGCATGTTGGTCATCTAGAAAAAGTAATCAGTGGAAGATTTGCTTCTTGTCCTTAGTAGTTTGCAGTTTGCTTCGTGCCCTGATGGTGGTATCAACTGAAAGGAAGCTAGTTTGGTGGAATGTAGGGCTGGTGGGGAACAGTAGAGGAAATCATACAGCTTTCTGCTGTGTCTATTGGAATGATCATGTGTATCTGTAAATAGACTGTGAGTGGAGAGAGGCATGGAGAAACTCCATTATCGGAGTGGTAGTGATGGCTTCATGAGTGTACATTTGATTCCAAATTGGGTCAAGAAGGAGTGGGGTATAGCTCATTGGTAGAGCACTTGCTTGGCATGCAGGAGGCCCTAGCTTGTGTCTTTAGCAACATAAAAAAACTCGGGCTCTTAGTTTTTAAATTAATCTAAGGAGCTTTATTGAGATAAAATCCACACACCATACAGTCCACTGTGTAAAGTGTGAAGTTCAGTGATTTGTGCTATCAGAACAGATACATTTGACCATCGTCACAGTATAAGAAGATTTTGAACACTTCAAAAAGAAACCATTGCCTGTACCCTCCTGCTCTGAATTTATCAAGAGTAACTTGTGTTTACTCTTGCAGACTTCAGTGCATTGGTGGAGCATGGTAGTTTATCAGTCCTGCTTGATATGAAAGAACATATCCAGACAACATCTGATTTCCTTTGCAATAGATCAGAGAAAAACTGTTCAGTAGTTTGAGGTGGTAAACCCTTTTGAGATTTAGGGATCTTTTCATGGTGTTGACAGCCTCCCCCAGTTGTAGTTATCCCTAAAACTTGTGTAAAAACCAGGCCTGGCAGTGCACATCTGTAATCCCAGCACTGTGCGAGGCTGAGGTAGAATTGTAAATTTGAGTCCAGCTTGGGCAGCTTAGTGATTTAGTGAGACCCTGGGTCAAAATCTTAAAAATAATTTAAGGAAAAGGAGATCTTGGGAGCTAATGTAGTACAAAGGTCCTGGGTTCAATCCCAAGCATTGGGTAGAAAAAGCCAAACAAAGCAACAACCACAAAACAATTTATGCATAAAACTTCGGGCAAGACATCAAAGATCCTCTAGAAGCCACGTACAGTATGAGTATGTCAGCTTTGGATTTATTGAAGGTACAATTTACATACGGTGAAGTTCATTATGCTTAGTTTATTTATTTATTTATTCTTAAAAAATATTTTATTTATTTATTTATTTTGTGTGTGTGTGGCCAGCTCAGCCCACCAGGGGGCGGGGCTGGCTGGCATGTGGTGCTGGGGGATTGAACTGTGGTCCCTGTGCTTTGCTTAAGCTTAGCTTGTTCTAAGTGGGTGCTTTAGAACACTGAGCCATCTCACCAGCCCATGCTTAGCTTATTTGATTGTAGTGTATAGTTGCCTTTCTGGCAGTTTTACCCACAGTACAACCAGTAGCCATGATATATAACTGTAGAAATAATTTTATTAAGATGTTAAGCCACATACAATACACAGTGAAAAATTTTGAATATATTTTCTTGATTTTTTTTTTTTAAGTATATGTATCAACAGTATAATTCCAGAACTGGGGAGGCTAAGGCAGGAAGATCACTGTGAGTTTGAGGCCAGACTGAGCTACATAGTGAGTTCAAGGTCAGCCTGAGTTACATAGCAGTAGAATTTTTTTTTTTTTTTTGGCGCCGAATGACCTCAGGGCAGTTTTGGCTGGCTTAAGTTGTGGGGTTGAGCCACAGCAACCTGAGCCTGACTGCTTTGTTGAAGCAGCCACTTAAAGAACTGAGCTAAGGGGCAGGCCCCCAGCTACATAGCAAAAACCTGGCCTCAAAACAAACAAAATCCCTTTGCCAGTGGAGCTTTTGGAAAACGTTAGCTTCATTAGCATTGTTAGTATATGTTTAGTCAACATTGTTTATACAGCAAGGTATTTAACTTCTGTAATGTGTCTAGAGTAATAAAAGTTAAGGTGACATGAGCTAAACTGTGGAAGCTAATTATTAATTACTGAAAAGATTGCATTTAGGCAGAATTAAGAATAATTACTCAAATAAACATAGCAGTGGCTTCCCACCACCACCTTCACTACTTCTGCTTCTCCACAGTTGCTATAAATGTCAATAAACTGTCAGTGTGACTTTTATTTAGTGTTAAAACCTCAATGGTACATGCCCTATAAGAGGATCCTTCCTTATTGCCTTAATTACTTAAGAGAAGATGAATTAAAATACCTTATTAGAACTCTTAATTACATAGGAAATGACATCTTAGCTATTGAACACTTTTTAGTCTTCAGTATTATAGTTTTTTTTTTTTCCTTTTAAGGAATTATATGCTGTATGCTTTCTCTTTGATTGGTATTGTGAGAGGTTTCTTTTCCTATTTATTTTTTTGAGACAGAGTCACTATGTCCTTAACTCACTGCATAGCCCAGGCTGGTCTACAAGTCATGGCAGTCTTCCTGCCTCAGTCTCCTGAGTGCCAGGATTACAGGTGTGCACCACCATGCCCAATGACGATTTTTTAGTCTATACATAAAAAATTTCAGTGATCAAGACTCTGTGTATTGCAGGTTGATCTCTGTGAACAGGAGAGCACTTCGGTAAGAGTATTTTTTCTAATGAGCTCTTCCTGGCTTCCCTCCTTTTTTCAAATATTATAAAATATGTGAGTTATCTTTTTGTGCCTGTGTATTCTAGGTGATGAGGATCGACCAGTGAGCAAAAAATTCCTTTTCTCATGGACAGTACATGACAGCGACTTAAACAGATGAATGAAATTTTAATGCAGTATCATTAAATGCTCAGAAGAAAAATGTAAAACTTAAGTTTTATGATTTAATGGTGGCTATGAATGCAGTCAAAGATTAATATGTTTTTATTGGTATAACTCACTCAAGGGAAATTCACTAAGTCAACATAATGTGACAGAGCAGTCCATGCATGTACAAGTATGTATTAACTTTTATTTGATGGGAAAAAAACCTCATATTCTAAAACAAGCCTTGTCAAGGATTTCAAAAAAGATAATGTATAAGATAAAGGATCATTTAGAAGAAGTTTCTTAAGGTTCAATAGGAAATTACCATAAAAACTTGTCATGCTTCTTAATAGTTTACTGTGTCCTAGAACCAGCAAACATTTTCAGAAGACTGATCTTCAAGTTTTGCAATTAAATTAACGAGTAAGTGGTTTGTTGTAAATTTATGGAAAATTTATACTTTTTTTTTTTTTTTTTTGCGGAACCAGGGATTGAACTCAGGCCCTTGCGCTTGCTAGGGAAGCACTTATTCCACCGAGCCATCTCCCCAACCCAGAAAATTTATACTTTTCAAGAAAATTTTACAGTTCTTAGAAGAAGGGCAGCTCGGTTTGGTTTTTTTGATGAATCAGACTTGCAGTTTATATTATAATAAATATATAGTTAATGTCTTAATAGACTCTCCACTAGAATAATATATAGTGTAATAATACAGCTACAGGAAAAATAATGACAACCATTTCGTACTTAAATTTTCTGGCCTGGTGTAGATTCAGAAGTGTTTACTACTTTTTATACCTTAGGCTATCCACACATTATTGCTACTTATTTTAATCTTTAACTCAAGTTTCCAGGTAGAGTGTTGAGTGGGCTTCCTTCATTTTGCTAGTCAGCCTCGAGACAGTTCAGTTGCATTTCACTTAGTAGAGCTCTCCTGGAAAGTTGCTTGGAAAGGCACATCTTCCAGATAAAACCAGTCCCTGAAGGCAGCCCCTTGTCTCATGATTTGTGATCAGGAGGCTGTAAGACGATGTGTTCGTGTGTGTCACCATCTCCTTCAGCCTCGAGAGTCAGCCAGCCAGCTCTGGCTGTTAACACTACCAAGCTGCATAGTACTTCTTAACCAGAGAAAAAGTACAATCAGGACTCAGGGATGGGTAGGAGAGGGAGGCCCATCCAGCGTGCTCTTTCTGCTGTCTTGAGTTCTATAGTATGAAGTCCCAGTGATTTTTTTTTTTTTTTTTTTTTTCCTTCTCTTTCTTTTCCATCACAACTAGTGATTTAGAAACATATCTGCCCTGGCTAATAACTTGGGAAACTCAAAATTTATAATTTTTTCTCCCCCTCCTGCTAGGTGCTGGATAGTTTACTAGTCCAGTATGGAGTGGTGGAGACCTGTGAGCAAGGTACTTGTCTTCTGAATTGCTTTCAAATTTGTAAAAGGAGGGAAATAGAAAGAAAACTGACTTGTATTTTTTGTTTTTTCTCTTCCTTTAGTGAACACTGACTCGGAAACTGCAGTGGTAAATGTCACCTACTCCAGTAAGGACCAAGCTAGACAGTAAGCAATTTGAAACTTTGTATTTATATGTAATAACTAGGGTAATTATATTAACTTACATTTTGTGGATTTCTAGATGGAGAAAGGCCAGTAAGTGGCAAAAACAACTTTATTTTGTAAATTTGGACACTGCAATTATTTCTTTTTAAGCTTGACTGTCTGTTAAGAATGTGTATTGGGCCAGGCAGGATGGTCATGCCTGTAACCTTTCTAGCCTGAATTACATAGCGATGGTTTGCCTCAAAAGATGAAATATAATATGGGGCTAAGGGTATAGTTCGGTGGTAAAGCCCTTGTCCTAGTATTCATGAGGTCCTAGGTTATAGCTCCAGTACCCTCATCCCATTAAAGAATATACATTGGATAAAACTGTATTGAATTTTCAATGTATCTTTCATACTAATTTGGAATGGTATAGTATGAAGCTGAACTATACCTTATAGGCAAAATGATCTAGGTACCATTTCCAAATTATGTGACTTTTTCTTACTACTATGATGTATTGTTGCTGTTTTATCTAATTCTGGTAAGTTCATTCTGTGTTAAACCAACAATAGTTGAATGTCTTCTTACTCTCTTCATTCTCTATTGATCAGTATTGTCAACTAGGAGTAGACAGACATTGAACCAATGTAACCTTTTATATTTATGGATAAAAATATATTCCAATGGATTTAACAAGTCTTAACTAATCAGTCTCCCCTGGAAAAAGATAATTCTGTAGGCTTTGAATGACCTAAAACACTGACTGAGCACTAGAAAGAGAAAATGATTTCACAGGCCTCTGACAGCTCCTCTGAGAACATAAGCACAGGCAAATGGCATACCTACTACCTGACAGCACAAGGGGGTGTCAGCTGACAGTGCATATCTCGAACACCTCAGTTACAGTGCAGGCAGAAACTGATTCTGTCCTTTCAGAGAAAAGTGAAAATAAGTTAGCGGACCCTGACCCCTAAAGAGGAAAAGTGAAGTTAAGTTTCTGCTAGATTCCCAAAGGCAGTACCCACTCATGGAGGGGCTAGGGAAGAAAACATAAGCCTGGAAAGGAGAAGGAAGTTCACTTAACACAAATAAAACTTTATTTTAAAATTATCAGTTGCTCATAACATTGTCACTGAGACACAATACCTGACACCACAACAAGGGAGGCTTAGTTCATGTTTCAGCCTATAATTGACTGACTCCAAGGTAGGACATGGGGGCAGAGGGCCTGAGGGAGGAGCCAGGAAGAGAGATGTACCTGCCAGGTCACATCTGCAGTGGTCTGCCCCTTCTGACCACGCTCCATGTCCTAAGTACAGGTCAGCTATGATGTCTCCATAATCCAACCACCTTCCTAGCATAGGCGGCTTCCAAACACATGATTATTTTAGATCTAAAGCATAAGAGTAATACTTGGGGCTTGAAATTTAAAAAACTTAAAAATCTATGTAGTGCACCTCTTCTTCCTAGCATTATTTTCCATGCTTTATCCTCTTGGAGATAATCATACGTAAGATAAATACATGCTTATCTTTTCCTTCCTTTTTATACAAATGGCAGTGTAACATTTGAGTGTTTTGCACACGTTTCTTTTATTTATTTATTTGTGTGTGTGTGTGTGTGTGTGGCCAGCTCAGCCCACCAGGGGGCGGGGCTGGCTGGCATGTGGTGCTGGGGATTGAACTGCGGTCCCTGTGCTTTGCTAAGCTTGTTCTAAGTAGGTGCTTTAGACTACTGAGCCATCTCACCAGCCCCTCACACACGTTTCTTATAGTTCCTTAGAATATGATTGTGTGGCTATGGGATGAATTACTTATCCCAAATTGGATATTTAGGTTGTTTCTAGTCTCTTACAATTAGGAACAGTGGTGTATAGAATCCTTTTATTATGTGTTACTTTGCATGTGTGTGAGTATATCTATAGATAAATTCTTAGAGGTAGAATTGTATTTTTGCCTTGTTTTTGGTCTTTTTTAATTTTACTGTACTTTTTTGGTTGAATTGTTTTTTAGGGGAGGTTTATTTTTTTGTTTTTGGTGCCGAGGACTGAACCCCGGGCTTCCAGCTTGCTAGGCAATTATTCTACGAGTGAGCCAAATCCCCAGCCTCCTAGAAGTGTATTTTTAATTGTGTTAACCTTTATAGAACTTGAACTAATTTAAATTCTCATGACCGGACTGGTGAGATGGCTCAGTGGTCTAAGGCACCTACTTGGAACAAGCTTGGCAAAGCACAGGGACCGCGGTTCACTCCCCCAGCACCACATGCCAGCCAGCCCCGCCCCCTGGTGGGCTGAGCTGGCCACACACACACACACACACACACACACAAATAAATAAAATAAAATAAATTTTCATTCTAAAAAAAAAATTTCTCATGAGCAATGTGAGATTGTTTCTCCATACTTTCCCCAATACAAGATTTTATCCAACATTGCTAGTCTAGTAGGGGAAAAGCGATATTTCGCTGGTAATATTTATTTTTCTTACTGAGGCTTTTACTGTGTTTTAAAACTTTTTTTTGCTCCTGTTGGTATTTTTTATTCATTCTTGTTTTTTCCTCACTAGTACTGGGCATCAGTCTGGGTGCCATGGTTTTCTGTTTTTGTTTTTTGAGACAGATTTTCACTAAATTGCCCAATCTGGCCTTAAACTTGTGATCCTCCTGCCTTAGCCTCCTAAGTAACTGGACTTATAGGAATGTACCATTGTGCCCAGCCTATTAAATTTTAACAGTATATATGAAGTCTTGAATGGTATCAAATTGTCATGAGAGTTAAGTTGGTATTTTATAAATTTTGTTCTTCATGTGTCATTAAGAAGAAAACTTCCCTTTTAAGCCCGCAGTAGAGTAGGAGATAAAAGGTGGGGGCAGTGGAAAAAGAGGCTCTCTTTGTCTTGTTTCACTCTTTCCAAGGTTTATATTGAGTACTTGGTAGAGCCAAGTCCTTGTGTGTAGAAAATAGGAGATCAGAGAATAAACTCAGAGGTACTTGGAGGTTGTCAAAGGCCTATCCTAGTTGACTTATTTGGAAACTTACACTGAGCTCACAAGGTTAAGGGGAAAAAAATACCAAGTTGGAAAAAGTCAACTTAACGTTAAAAGCGAGAATGTATGTTGGAGATGCAGCCTTTGAGAGGCACACAGGGGCCAGGGAGTTGGCATTTAGTCCCCCTGCTTTTTAGTAAGTTTCAGGGCATGAAGAATTTAAGAACAGGAAGGGCAGACTTGTTGGTCGAGGCAGAATCATTGTTGAATGTAAGCCTGACATGACTGCCAGCTGAATGTGATGTTATTGTTGTAAAAATTACATATAATGATAGAGGATGGCAGAGTCCTACTGATTCAAGGAAGGTTGTCAGGAATTGTGATTTTGGTCATATAAACAAGTATATTAGGCATTTCAAAGAGTGAAGTAGTTGTAATAGTTCCTGTCGAAATACTCATCTGTTAAGTTTTATTAAGCACTAACAATTGAATGCAGGTTGCCAGTGAGTAAGGACGGCTTTATCTAGCCTCTCAGCGGTGAAAAGAAAGTTCTGTGTTTGAGGAGAAATCCCCTGACTGTAGTTCTTAAGTTGTCCTATAAGATTGTGGCTCCAAGACTTCCAAAGATCAAAGAGAATTAGAAAACTGTTAAATACTTAGAGAAAGTTAGTAGGTCTAAAGAATGGAAAACTCAATTTTGTAACAACGTTATGAATTTTTTTTTTTCCTGGCTGGCTCAGAATGCCTTCAGGACAGGTTTGAGTCCTGGGGATCGAACCACAGCAACCTGAGCCTGACTGCTTTGTTTTGAAGCAGCCACTTAACCAACTGAGCTAAGGAGCAGGCTCCCAATGTTATAAAAATTGTCTGTTAAAGTTTTCTAGTTTTTTTTTTTTTTTTTTTGCGGAACCGGGAGTTGAATTCAGGCCCACTGAGCCATTTCCCTGGCCCCATTTTTTTTTTCCTTTCAGAGGGTGTTGAATGTGCTCTCATTCTGGGAGCGTAATGTATTTTGAGATACACTGGAAAGCAGGGGAGTGTATAGCTCCTGCACGTAGGCACTCTCGATGCCAGAATCTTGGCCTCTGAGCTTTGGTTTTCTCAGCTACGGCATAAGGATTAAAAAAAATAAATATGAGGCCCGGGAGACGGCTCAGTAGAGCAAGTGCTTGCCTGGCAAGTGCAAGGGCCTGAGTTCAGTCCCCAGTTCTACTAAACAAACAAACAAATACCAAAGTATGTGGAGCTAAAGCTGGTAGGTGAATCACATAAATTAAAAAAAAAACAAACACAAGTATGTTCTAGGTATTGTGGCAAGTGGACAGCGAGTAAATAGTAACTGTTAAACTGTTAAGCCCACTTATCCTGGGCTGCTTCTGGAGCAGTGTGATGCGGCTGCATCTGGGAAGGCTGGTATCTCCAGGACATGCTCCGCTGATGCCCAAAAGTCAGCTTGATAACTGCTTGCTGCCTGAGCCAACATGGGTCGTCCTCCCCCACTCCCATGCACCCTCTGGCAGCTATCACTCAAATCTTCATGTCATAAGGGCCACAATGGTATTCTTAGTTGAGCTCTTTTCTTAGTGTCTACTCCTTGGAAGTCTCTGGGACTGGGAAGGGCCTGTGAAGGTATGTGTAGAGCACGGAGGTCTTGAGGATACATTGCAGAGGGCAGCTGCTGGCCCTCGACTCTGCCCCACTTTGCTAGCTGGAATTTTGGTCAGGTTAATTTGGCATGGTTCATCACCATCTCTAAAATGGGACTGGATCCCTTAGTGGGTGAGGCTGTTGAGAAGAGCTAAGATAATGCCTTTGACACATTGAGCATCATGCCTAGTTGGGAGCTCGGAAGTTAGCAGTTCTTGGGCCTTTCCCTGAGGCGTCTACTTGCTGCTGGGAATACCCTGCTGTCCTCTGTCCTCTGTACTCCAGATAATGATGGCCACTGATCCTGAGGCGTTAAGGACCTAGGTGAAATATTTGCAGCTGACTCTTTGTTCCTTAAAGCTCTGTGATTGCCACCTTTA